CAGGTGTCTTTTTGATTCCGTGTCTTTGTGTCTTTTGGGAAGTTCCCCAGGCGTGGGGCTGCTGGGCTCCCCAATTTTTTTACAGCGTCATGGCTGACCGCCCTGCACACTCAGACCCCACTCAGCCCTCGCCAGGCGGCTCTGAGGAATCCACAGGGATAGGCACAACGTAAGGGGTGCTCGGCGGGGACCCCAAATGAGACGGAGAGAAGCGTTCCCGGGGATGAAAGGCGGACAGGAAGCGCCCACACGGGGCATCCCTGGGTCACGGGCCCTGCTCACGGGCCTGCGGGTTCAGGAGCGAAGACGCCCCAGCGCCCGAGTCCCCTCCACTGGCCCTCGGCCCCTCGGCCCGCGGGAGACCGGGCGGAGCTCATCGCCAGGCCACTTACTGTTGGTGGCCGCCGTGGCCGTGAAGTGCAGCGAGGCCTTGGCGCTCTTCAGCCGCGTCTGGCCCCAGAAGGCCACGGCCTGCACCTCCACCCTGTACTCGCTGCCCGCCAGCAGCCGCTCCAGGACCACGGACGTCTGGGCCTGGGGGAGGCGACAAGAGCAGCCGGTCACCCGCGTGCCCGCCCCAGGCCGCCCCCGCCCCTGCCCGGGGCCGACCGGGATCACGGGAGCTGGGAGGTCACTGTGTTTGCGGGCGCGTTTCACCGCGAGGACACACGGCCAGTGGCAGGCGGCCGGGGGCACCGCGGGCGGACTTGGGGCTCCCTGGGGTGGGGGGTCAGCACTCGGAAGCTGCGACAGTGCGATCCCCGGCCGGGGGGGACCCGGGGCGCAGCAGCCCCCGCGCCCCCGAGCAGCGGGTCTCAGGGGATCCGCCTGTCCTGCTCCCCGCTCTGGCTCTGGGGAGTCCCCTCACCCCTGCACCACGGCCCTGCACCTCAGTTCTTGGTGCATCGATAACTACGTCTTTAAAGTAATTTAGGGGTCTCCCTCGTGGTGCAGGGGTGAGTCTCAGCAAAAGTTAGGTTCCCGCTGGCCAGGGAGGGACCCCGGGGTGCAGCAGGCCCCTCCTGTCTCCCCGCTGCCCCCTCAGCTGTGGGTATCAGTGCATCTGCCTGTGCTGCTCCCCGCTCTGTCTCTGGGGTGTCCTCTCAGCCCCGCACCTCTGGCCTGCACCCCAGTTCTTGTGTGTATCAATAAATAGGAGAAACAAATCTTGTAAACCCCTTCTGTGTCCAGCTGCTGCCCTCAGCAGATCTGCCTGTGCTGCACCCCACTCTGTCTCTGGGGCGTGCTCTTAACCCCTGCACCTCTGGCCTGCACCCCAGTTCTGTGTGCATCAATAAATAGGAGAAATAAATCTCATAAACCCCTTCTGTGTCCAGCTGCT